CAGGCTCCAGGCTCCGAGCCATCAGCCCAGAGCCTGACGCGGGGCTCGAACTCACGGACCGCGAGATCGTGACCTGGCCGAAGTCGGACGCTTAACCGACTGCGCCACCCAGGCGCCCCTACAACTTTTGAATATTTTTAAATAAGTTATAGACGTGGGCTTTTTCAAGAATTTTATTTTATTTTTTTTTTAATTTTTTTAACATTTTATTTATTTTTGAGACAGGGAGAGACAGAGCATGAACGGGGGAGGGGCAGAGAGAGAGGGAGACAAAGTTTGAAACAGGCTCCAGGCTCTGAGATGTCAGCACAGAGCCCGACACGGGGCTCGAACTCACGGACTGTGAGATCATGACCTGAGCGGAAGTCGGACGCTTAACCGACTGAGCCACCCAGGCGCCCCTTTCAAGAATTTTAAAGAGATTTTCATTTGTAGAATTAGTTAACAATAGCTATTGTTAATACCTTACTAGTAATATTAATTTACTAGTAAAATTAATTTTTTAAAAACTTTAAAAATTTGAGATTCAGGCTTGCTTGACTTTATTTTTTTTTAAACTTTTTTAACGTTTATTTATTTTTGGGACAGAGAGAGGCAGAACATGAACGGGGGAGGGGCAGAGAGAGAGGGAGACACAGAATCGGAAACAGGCTCCAGGCTCTGAGCCATCAGCCCAGAGCCTGACGCGGGGCTCGAACTCACGGACCGCGAGATCGTGACCTGGCTGAAGTCGGATGCTTAACCGACTGCGCCACCCAGGCGCCCCAAGGCTTGCTTGACTTTAATCAAGTTGTTCAGAATCACATAGTAAGTATGGTCAAATACACATTTATGATTCCAAGTACTATTTGGAATGAAGTTTGCATCTCAGTACTTCTATACCATTTTGAATATGTAACGGCAATTTAAAATCATTTCTCGAGTCTTATACCAATGCCAATTTTATTTCACCTCGTATTACCTATTAAAATTTTATTCCAAAATGGAAATTTTTATTACTGAGGGATATTTTTCTTTCTATACTCTGATTGGGATTTTATTTCACGCAGAATAAAAAAAAAAAAAGTATCTTGGATATAACTGAAACCACTGAAATGTTCTGTGATTAGCCAGGGTGTTTTCCTAAAACCAATTTCAAGATGGCAAAGGATACAGTACTGGCTTTAATTCAGGCTTTTATATGAAGTTTGGTTATTCAGCGTAGCAAGGACACATAATGAATATGGCCTCCTAGAGATGATATTTTGGTAAAATTAACTTGTTGGTTGACATTAAAATCCAAGAGTATCAGATACTAACATCAGTCTAAATTTGTTACTCGTCTATTTACTTTGTCAAAATACTGTTATGCTCAGCTTAACACTTTTTAATTTTATTTTATATTAAATGGAATAACATGTAAGGCTTAAATAGAAATATAGAAACTGTAACATATCTCTGCTTGTTTCACTGTATATAGCAATTGCTTTAATGTGTTGTGTTTTTTTTCCTCCCACTACAAAATTAAACAAAGTTTGACAGTGAAATATTCCAATTGCTAGACCATAATATATGTATGAACTCTGCCTGATAGAGTAGAATGTTAAAAGTAAACATTTCTCTAAACTCTGCCCAAATATGTTTTGTCTACTTGAGTGCCAAAGAAATAATAATGACAATAATGCATAGCATAGAATATGGGAGAGAACTGGGACATTTATCTATGGAAGGAGATGTGTCCCAGGTTGCAATCTTTTTACAAAATCGTAAACTCACAAAAAAATCACTTCCATACCAGCATAATATTACCTACTTATATCTGTTACAGAATGATTAGTAACCTTTCTGATGATATCTTAAAAACCACAAAGTGTCACTCAGTAGTTATCATAGGTTTAATTCAGTTACATATTTCCCTGGAAACTGCAAGATATTAAAATCTAATAGATATTAAATATTTGTGACTTTAAGATTGTTGGCTTTCAACCTTTTAAGATTTTGTTACATCATTTAACAGATTAGCTTACATTAACACCTTTTTAAACTAGAATTTTAGTAATGTACTAAAGAACATAGCTGAGATGTGAAATGCAGACTTAAAATCCTAGAGGCACAGGTAATAAAATATACAACAACTAAAGGGAAACTCACAAAGGAACCATGGCAAATACAAAAGTAAGAGTTTCTGGAATTAATAAAGATATTTTTAAGCTAACATAGTATTTCAGTATCTCCTATAACTTCATTTGTGATATAAATTTCTAAATATAGAGAGTTGGTAAAATTTTTTTCTTTCCGCTAGAGAATTCTATGGGATATAATCAATGGGATAACTTGCTGCTATTTCCGGTCTGTTTTCCACATATTCTGGCACCTCACTTTAAGTATGGGCTCCCTGAGGAATACCACAAATCTTTAATTTCTCATAGTTCATTTTCTCACCAATACTGATTAATGGAGTATTACTCAGTGATCAAAAAGAATGAAATTTTGCCATTTGCAACAACATGGATGGAACTAGAGGGTATTATGCTAAGCACAATAAGTCAGTCAGAGAAAGATAAGTATCATATGATTTCATTTACATGTGGAATTTAAGCAACAAGACAGAGGAACATAGGGGAAGGGAAGGAAAAATAAGATAAAAACAGCAAGGGAGGCAAACCGTTAAGAGACTCTTAAATAGAGAGAACAAACTCAGGGTTGCTGGTGGGGTGTTGGGGGGAGATGGGCTAAATGGGTGATGGGCATTAAGGAGGGTACTTGTTGGGGTGAGCACTGGGTGTTATATGTAAGTGATGAGTCATTCAATTCTACTCTTGAAACCATTATTACACTATATGTTAACGAACTTGGATTTTAATAAAAAAAAAATACTGATTCCTTCATTCATTTAATAGATGCTGGTTGAAAACATATTTTAGGCTCCAGAGACACAACAATTGTGTGCTATTGAACACAAGACAGCACACTGTTTATTCACCTCTTAGTGCTTGTAATTTGGTAAACATAGATGGACTCTATGTTGTTAATACAGTCCATTTGGATAAATGTATTTTTTAATTCATAGGCTAGTGTATCAATGTATAAATACTGAAACTGAAACAGGAACAAGTTTGTGATTAGTGAACAAGAGTGATTAGTTATTACTCTATAATAGACATAAAATAAGGCCAAAATATATGATTTTAAAAGTCAGAATAGGACTGTGATGATTTTTATTATCTTCAAGACTTAACCCAAAAATTAATAGAAAAGTCTACTGGAAATGTGGCCTACTTTCAATGTAAAACAATAAGCATGAATAATACTCTAAAACAATAAACATGTATTAATAAAATTTTGAGCATGGTACCTGGCACTACCCTGGATGCTTTATGTAAGGGTCTGTAATTCTTCTAGTTTCCTTGTTTTATTTTGTTTTTTGACAAAGAGAGAGGGCACAAGTGAGTGAGGGGTGGGGCGGGGGGGGGGGGCAGAGACAGAGAGAGAGAGAATCCCAAATCCCACAAGGGACAGAGAGAGAGAGAGAGAAGTGGGCTCACCCAAAGCGGGCATGAGCTCACCTGAAAGAGGGCATGACCTCACCCAAAGCGGGGCTCATGTGCAGATGAAGCGAGGCTCGAGCTCACCCTATGCAGGTCTCAAACTTACAAACCATGACATCATGACCTGAGCCAAAATCAGATTCCTAGCTTCCTTGTGAAGTAGGTATTAAATCAGCCATTTCACTGATGGGGAAGCTCAAAGAGCCCGTACACGTGTTTCCAGAAAATGCTATGTAGATGTGACTGAAGAGCCTAAAGTCCTTCCACCAGAACACTGTTTTGTTGTTATTATAGGATACCTACGTCTTGATTCACCAGTGATTTGTTTCAGTGCTAATCATAATTTTAATTATGTGAATATATATTAAGAACTTGCCATATTCTACTTTCTCTTCAAAATGTTACTGAATAGTGAGCAAGAACCCTACCAAGTTAAACAAAATGGTCTAGAAATATGGGGCTACAAAAAGTCTTATGAAGTCTTTGCTCACAATGAAAATATTTAAGACAAGTGACAAATTTAGAGTATCTGGAACACCTGGAGACTAAATAAGATAATTTTAAGTTGTGAGACTAGATCCAATGTTTTCTCATTTTTTGTTATCTAATTCCACTTTATTTTGCCATTATAAATGTCTCAATGTTTACATTATTCTTTTATAAAAAATTGAAATAACACTTCTTATAGGCATCTATTTCCCTGTCAAAATTCATAAATAATTCATATCAAGGTGTGCTTAGATTTACACTCTCCCCTATTAGCACGCTATCTAAAAGAAACAACAGGCATTGTGGTGTATGTTATATTACTTCAGTTCTCTGTTCTCACTTCAACCCATATTCTGCTGCCTCTACCCCCAGTCCTATATAAATTTACCCGGGCCGTCCATGATCCTGGACAAAGGAACAAGTATCTATACATTCCTTAAGTGCATAGACTAGGAACCCGTAACAAATTTGTCACCGGTGATCTAAACACCTCAAACTTTTTTTGCTAACAAATTATTTAAGAAAATATGATAAAACAATTCATGAATAAGCCAAAAAAAAATGACTGCAATGTCTTCATTCCCCTATCATTCTGAGTGTATTTTTCTCTTAATACACTCATGGAAGTTACCTATCATTCCAGTTATATCCTAAAGCATGAAAGAGGAGATTGGGGGGTGGGGGGCAGGGAGCAACATGAGTTTATTCAGTGAGGTAACCTACATAAATAGTGTAAAATGTAAATCACATATTTTATTATTGAGAAAACAAAATATGAGCCAAGAATATATTTCTTTACATTTTTAGATTTAACTAGCATTGAAAGTTTCAAGGTTTATTTTGACTAGTGTCTGGCTTTCTAATTGACAAGCTAATTAGAAGGGTATGCTAGACTACTTGTCCATACCAAGTTCAGTGCGCAGCTGTCCTGGGGGAAAGACATACAAGTGAACCTGTTGACACTTGAAATTAAGCAGCACTCACCCGAAAAACTGTCATTTCTTCCAGCAGAACTTCTTCTAAATCATGCCAAGTCTCCTTAGGAATTGAAACTACTTTAAGAACGGTCCCAACATCTTTGAAAGAAAGTGGAGGAGGAGAACACAGTTTAAATAGATCTGAACAAAGGTTAATGTTCATGAATGGAAATAGTATTTGAACAGAAAGTACATTTTGACCTCAGTCTTCCTTTTGTTTTTTTTTTGTTTTTTTTTTTTTTGTTACAGCACTGGTAAAATATATATTCAAATGCATTACATGCAACTAGATAAAGTGTGAACATAGCTGTGCAATGAAAATAGCTGAATTTTCAGAAATATATGAAGCTTTGAAGATGCTTTTATCCTGAACTTGCAAAATTAAATGTATATATGTGTATATATACACATATATATATACACACACGTATATATATATACACACACACACATACACACATACTAATCACTAGGTTGAACTATATATTTTTTAATTTTTAATCTCTATTGTCAGGTGTCTCAGGAAAAAAAAAAACTAAAAAAAAATAATGCCAGTTGATATAGCAAGTTTTTCCACTTTTGTTGTGAAATCTGGGACTACCTGTGAAGATTTAATACAGATGCAAAATGCAAGGAATGTTGTCCAGCAACAGAAGTAGTGAAGCCTCAGAACCTGCTGCTCATCCCCCAGGCACCTGGAAGCCTGTAGTACTTATAGGCCCCTAAAGACAGCTCAATGACCATTAAGTGATGAATGACAATAACTTGATTTCACAAAATAAACACCTTGGATTACTTGTTCTGGTAGTTGCTCAATACTGACTAATCAACTTTGGTTAACAAACTGGTCTGATTAATGTCTTGAATAATCAATTTTAGAGTATTAAAGAAATTTAAATTCCAGAGCATATATCATAAAAACTATTAAACTGAATACATTGTATAGAGATTTAAAGGATTGTTTATTCTAATTTTCATTGTGAAAAGATAAGTTGTTTCAAGGAAAAGAGCTGTCGCTTTTACCCTAAATTGTGTTTAGAAGATATTATTTTTCCAGTATGGACTCTTCAACATTCCAGTTCTGATCAGCTGATCAATTGTTTTTAGCTTCAACTGGCTCATTTTAATCAAGTTCAACTGACTCATTATTTGAAAAGAAGAATCATACCAGTAAAGAATAAGCCACACCAGAAAAATCATTTACTGTATTCAGTGAATAACCATTGATAGCCATTTTCGGGGCATCAATATGATGTGCTATGTGAGATAAGAAAAGTTGCTAGTGAGGAAAAAAAAAAGAAGAAGAAAGAAAGAAAAATTGCTAGTGTATCCCTTGTAAAGTGAAAAAGGTGCCCTCTGTTAAGAGGTTACTTTTATGTTTATAGGACTTTAGACTACTCATAACACCAAAGATTAAAGGTAAATTAGGTTAATATACTCAGTGCCTCTGATGGGTTTCCAGTATCCAAACATAACTTTATCTGTGTTCCAGATCTAGTTTTACTGAGTAGTATTTCAAACAATTTCACACAAATTGAATCAGATTACTCAACTAGGATCAATACACTGTGATGTGCAACCCAGTTAAAAGATAAAATTACTATAATCAATTTACTTTGTTGACAGATGACCCTGGTCTGTACTGACCAATAGCCATCCACATCTTCAGACATTCAACATTCTCATGAAATTGGTCCCTTTAAAGATAGCCTGTGTCCAAAAGGAATTAAAAACTCATGATTGGATTTCTTTGGTCAAATAGCCGGAAGCAAGCTTTTGCTTCATTGACAGTGAGTGAGGGACTTCTCAACATGTTTAGGTCAGAGGTGAAAAAAAAGGTAAGTGTGACATTATTGAATAAACTTAATTACTCTGTAGATAGATCTAATTATACTTTGACATTAAATGGTAAACTAATATTTACTGAAGACAAATCCTATCAACTTACAGTTTCTAAAGATTTATATAACCAGAAGTTGATACTTGGAATTCACTGACTTTTATCAAACTTGGAGTCTCTTTGGGATTCTACAATTTGGTAAATGTTCTCACTCATAAAAGTAGACTGCACTCTATTGCTCAGAACCTGACACTGTTACACCTGAAAATACAAGTATTTCACAATTTCATTGTAAGACTTTAAGTCTTTAAGGCACTTACCACACAGTTGCCATTCCCCTGTAGTTAATTAATTTTTTTTTTCTGTTTCTCACCAAGGGAATATACATGCTATTATACAAGGTTTCAGTGGAGCAGTCACTCTGCTTCCCACTGATTTATGTCAGTTAACAATGCTAATGGAGACTAGGAATTTATTGCCTTGGAATCTGACCCTAAATAGCAAGTTTCAGGTTTGTAACTGGTGCTTCAAAATAGTATTAATAAAGAGAGTAGGGGGAAAATATGTCATAATACAATGGGATTCATTCTGAAAATATATATGCAAAAAGTTTGTTTCTAATCATGGAGTTAGTAAAAATGTATTGTTAAATTTCTGTAGAAATGAACCTAAAATTTATCTGATGATTCTTATGGTCCATTTTGTTCTTCAACTGATGAAATTTTTATTTTGTTTTGTTTTCTCCCATTGTATGGGAAAAACACTAAACAAATTTTATTGCCAAAATTTATTTTGTACAAGATTTCCACCCTATGATACTTTTTTTTAAATTTTTATTTTTGAGACAGAGAGAGAGCATGAATGGGGGAGGGTCAGAGAGAGAGAGACACACAAAATCCGAAGCAGGCTCCAGGCTCTGAACTGTCAGCACAGAGCCCGACGCAGGGCTCGAACTCACGGACCGTGAGATCATGACCTGAGCCGAAATCAGACGCTTAACGGACTGAGCCACCCAGGCGCCCCATGATAATTTTAAAGTTAGGTAATTTTGCATCAATATAGCCCAGAAACATTATCGCATGTCTTGGGAGTTTTAGGCATGGTTTGAAAATACATCTTTGTTCTAAAAAGTCAATGGACAGAAAAGAGTTATGATTCACATCTAGACATTGTTTACCTAATCATTAGCCTTACTTGATTGCATTCATCAACTTTTGATTGAAAAGGAGATTTTGTTTAAATTAATATACCTCAAATTATTACTTTTTAATAACGCATTGTCATGGTGGATGTTCAGGTTTTTTAGTCATTTATTAGAGATTAACTCAATCTTGACAGCGACTCTAAAAACTTCCCTCAGTTCTTAGTTTACTCAGTAAGTTAACGGTCTACAAGGAAATTCAGGGCTAAAATTAAAAACATTTACCTGTTCCAATAAACATAACATCATACTGGCCATCTTCTGCATCCACTCGATCTACCACAATTTGTGTAAACTGATAATTGACATCTGTTTTGATCATTATTGGGCGGTTATTAATAGGAAACACTGGATTGTACATAGCTGGGTGACTTCTTGCAAATGTTATAACATCATCAGGAAGGTCTTTTGTAGAGTCAAATCCACCAAATGTTTTACTGGGACACTATTAAGATAAAGAGAAGAATAGCTTTTGATTAAAATATAATGAATATAATTACAAATTATATAATAATTTGTAACCTCAATGGTCATAAACTAAATCTAACCTGTCATTATTTCTTTAAAATTAAGTAACTGATAAACTAAAAAATAATATTACTTAAATTAATAGATGTAATATAGAGTATTTTTTTCCTAAACGTAATTTAAGTCTCAATGGGATTTAGTTGTGTCACCATTTTTTACCTAAAACTACAAATGCATCTAATGAATTCAGTGTATGGGAGTCTGATGCTCTATTAGTGGCAACTAATATATTCTACTGATAGGATAAAGTATTTGGAATAAGAAATGAAATATGTTACAACTAAATCCAATTAATAATCAGATTAGAGAATCTCAGAAAAATTTTCTTGGATAAATTTTCCCCCCAGGGCATCATGCTAAAATGCAAAGGCTCTTGTTAAGCTAAGAGACAACATAAACTATTCTTTTCTTCTGTAAGTTTATTTATTTTGAGAAAGAGAGAGGAGGAGCACATGCGTGCGTTGGGGAGCAGAAGAGAGAAAGGGAGAGAGAGAATCCCAAACAGGCTTCACACTGTCAGCACAGAGCCCAAGGCGGGACTCAAACCCATGAGTCGTGAGATCATGACCTGAGCTGAAATCAAGTGTTTGACGCTTAACCGACTGACCCACCCAGTCACCCCTCTAACATAACCCTGAAAAAGCAACACAAAAAGTACCAACAGTACTCTCTCACTAAAAAGTAATTATAAGGGTAAGGAAAGGTGTTATTCAAAGCGTTTGATAATCTGGGGGTGCCTGGGTGGCTCAGACGGTTAAGTGTCCAACTCTGGTTTCGGCTCCAATCATGCTTGCATGTTTCTTGAGTTCGAGCCCCACACTGGGCTCTGTGCTGACAGTGTGGAGCCTGCTTGGGTTCCTCCCTCTTGTCCTTTCTCTGTGCCTCCCATGTTCATGCTCAATCTCTCACAAAATAAATAAACTTAAAAACGATCTGCATGGCAATGAAACTGACCAATTCAAGTGGACAAGTTGAACAGATGATGGCTACAGAGTCAGAAATGAAGCACTGTGGTACACTGGCATAATATCGCCTCTGAATTATAAACACTCCATATAAGGCAATAAAACAAAAATGAGAAAATTCAGATTCCACTGTGTCTCTTTTCACTGCATTTAATTATGTGATAAAAGCATTCAAAGTAAAACATCTCCAGCCTCTTGCTTTTTGTCTTATGCCTAAGTAATTTTTGTCATTTAATGTAAGAGCTTGGGAGCTGAACTATAATTAATAGAAGTTCTTGATCTTATAAGAGGCTTAGGAGAAATCAATGGTCTTTGCCATTACCTTGATACAGATCATAAATAATTCATGAGAAATGAAATAAATAAACTTGCTATGAAACGGGAAGAGCATCTATCTTGGAATATATATGCATGTATATATATGTGTGTGTGTATATACAGACACACACAATTATACACCAATACAACAAAGGATTTAAAGGATTACTTTTTAAGTAAATTATAAAGCTACTTATTTAACGTAATATGTTTCACTTAGTATGTTTTTCTCCAGTAGTGTTGACAAAATGGCTATTCTCAGCTGCCACTTGATAGAATTAATGAACTCATTCAAATGAATTTTAGTCATGGAGTTAGGTGTTTTGCCCTTCTGCTGGCCACTCCCTGATTCCTAGATTAGGCAATGCTTTCTGCTTCTGTCTTTAACAGTTGGTGCATACTGCTGACTTTTTATGCCATGTTTTAACAATTCTGAATAATGAGTGAGAACACCAGCTCTAGAACCAAACTGCCTCAACTGAGTCCTGCTTCCTCTCTTTGCCTCAAAGTCCTCATCTGTGAAATGGGAGCAATAGCTGTGCTACTGAATACAATATATATAAATATAAATTTCTTAGAACAGGGTCTGGCACACAATAATTTCCAATGGCTATCCTTAATTGCAAATATACTGGTACAAATTCAGATCAAAACCTCTGTATCTCCAAATGGCAGTACACCATCTAGCATGCTGAAGGAACTGCACCAAAGCTGTCGAAGTGAAACCTAGAGGCAGGTCCTACTTAGAATACACTGGCCTTAACGAGCCATAGGGTTAGAAAACTCATCACCAACAAAGTAGAAGCAGTCTGCCATTAAGAGATGGAGTAAATATCTTGCGCTTTTTCGTAAAACCCATTTTACTTCATATAATCAATATTTCGTCTTATTGGTTCATTCTTCTGGAAGCCTACACAGGTTTTGTATCCACAAGAACCACCAGCTAGAATATTTATAAAATGCAAAATTTTCAATTTTCCCATAAAGAGCTTCATAAACAGAGAAAAATAAGATTATAATCCCCATATTGAATAAAATGTATAAAACATAACTTACTTGAATTTAACAGAATAAACCAAACTGAAGTAAAATTACAGCAATGGCTAAACTTCAAACACAAGTTTTTGCATCCCGGGAAATTATTTCCTTAAAGATACTTAGGATTAGAGCAGTTGCACTTGGGTGCAGGTATTGTACAACCTCTGCCATCACTGCTAACTTCACTCACTTCCTACCATATTTTTTTTTCACCCTACTTTAAATTGCAGATTCAAAGCTGGTTTTATTTTGAGTTCTCTCCAATTTTTTTTCAAGCCTGAATGTGCCCCAGGGTTGCTGGAGGGAAAAAGGAGCGGTCAGCGAGAGTAGACAGTGTCTGTTAAAATATCTAGGCCCTGTTCTATGAGATTTTCCTGCATATCTCCCTTACCTACTTGAGGGGTGTGTCCCATTCCCATGGGAAAATAGTACTGATTTAAAACTTTTCGTCCTCCTATTTAATGGGCAATCCTTGAAGCCTTCATTCTAGCTAGGGAGAACAAGTTCAGATGAATCCTAATTGTTTCAATTCTCTATGAAAGCCACTTTTGGAAAAGAAAACAAATAAGTCTACCCATTTAGTTTCTATTTCTCAAAAATTATGGTTATTAATAACTGGTAAGCACTGAGCTTAACCACTAATGTCTCTAAAGAACATGCTTTTAAATGCAGAATTCCACGATATCATAGAAAATCCCTGCTTTGTTTTGTTTATAGTCAAGGTACCTTTGTTTTACATTATCTATAGTTAACACCTGCTTGTAGCAGCTTTTTATAAACCTTCAGGAGAAATTTATTCATCTGGTATTTTAAAAACCTAGACCACTTACAGTTCCTGGTCGTGGGTAGGGGACTCTTCCTTGGTAAGGCACCCACTGATAGTTGGGACCATCCCTGTGAGCGTATGGACCAAGGAACACCCTTCTCACATCACTCATGCTATACATGCACACAGCTGACCCCTTGAAGATGTTACTAAAAAAGAGAGACAGAAAAAAAAAAAAAAGATTTTCATCTTCATACAGTGGAAAGACAACTGTTCTTAAGTTGTTCCAGGTTATTAATGTTATTAGATGTCAATTATCAAAACTTGAACATAAATTCAACCTCAAATAGTGCTTGTGATATTTTTTAGTCATGTGTATATATTTTGGCAATACACAAGAGAACATATTATGATTGCTCAAAATAGAAGCATAGCTGAAACCATCATTAATACTCATAGTATATATATTTATATCACATATACACAACATATGATATGAAGTACACACATTAATATACATAAACTTTAGTGGGAAAACATCTACATGATCTTCTAAAAAGCAATATTTAATTTTGATATCAATAGAAATAAAAACATAAACTTTGGTACTATGTTAAGCCTCCATCATGAATACTGAAACCAGAGAACTTTTAAGCAAGCAAAAATGTTTAAGAAGTCATTTTAGGAGCTGAAACTGGTGCAGAAAATGAATAGTTAATGTCAAATGATAGGTCACATTATATTATTTTTAACTCCCAAATGACCAAAAGCATTAGAGCAAGTAACTGAGTGTGATTTGTGTGAAGGCATTTAAAATAATCTCTTCCTAACTCAGAAAATTGTTTTAAGTTAGTAGCTGTTACATCCTACTCAAAGTGGAATATTATAGCAATTATCCCCATCATTTTGCTTGACAAAAATCAGGTACTTGAAATAAACTGGAAGTTTGCCATGAGCTGCCACAATTTTCCATTTTATTGTACTTATATAAATACGGCTTGAGAGATGTATTTATACAAAGATATAAAACAGTCATGCACACTTAAAATATGGAATGCTTATCTTTTAACCAATCTTTCACCATAGAAAATTACATATACAACATATCAAATGAAAAACATGTGTTTATAAGAGTCTATTACTGGAACCTGCTCCACATAGACAATGTCTGGTAGAATGCAAGCTTCGTGAGGGAAAAAAGAGGCCCAGTTGCTTTTCTGTAACATCAGTTGCATATTTCATGGTACCTAACACATAGTAAGTCTCAGTAAATATTTACAGAATTTAATAATGGTATTTTCATAATAGAAGAAAAAGTAGTCTCCATCCTAATCTTACTGATTCGGAAACTCTGGAGGCGGGGCATGGTGGTTCACATGGATGCTCAGATGGATGTCTGAGAACCACTGCCCTAAGTAATGAGGAAGTCAGAAGAAATGGATTAATGTCTGTTTAATTTTAACAACTCCAGGTAATATAAATTTTATACCGAATGAGATAGTCAAGAGATAATTGCTGCTTGATTGACAGCAAGTGTCTTGGGAAGATGGGGAATGGAGAGTGAGGAGAAGAGGAAGGAGGAGACAAAGAGGGGAGGGAGAGAATGAAGGAGGAAGAAGGAAAAGAGAAAGGAAAGAGTGTTGCCACTGTAGTTTATAGCACTACAAAGTCTGATCAAAGCTCAGATTTCAGCCTTTCAGAATATTCTACATTTCATTTAAATTTTCAGTCAGAGCTATACTGAGGCTATGATACATTTTTCATCATTCAATTTACAGTGATGACATTTCTGCTAAAATTTATTTTTTTTAACTATTTACGTCATAACATCAGCCACCCAAGAATCTACAACAGCTCAAAGGTTAAGCCAAGCCAATGTTCTTTCAAAAATGTATTTTCCAAATTATGGATTCCTGAAAAGCACCTAAAGGACATGAAGTTTCTTTGATAGTAAGATAGTAAAAAGTTGTTTACCTGGAAGTTGTAAACACTCCATAGACAATTGGATTTTTAGGATCTTTAGAATTCATAAGGAATACATCCTCTGTTTGAAAACAAAATTAGGAAAAGTTGCATTTTGGTGGTTATGACAAATTCTGAACAAATATTCTCTATCCAGTATCATGAGTTACTTACGCAATTCATCAAAATGAGTGTCAATGCCATTTGGACCTGGCACTGAGCAAATGAGTCGAGCTTTCAGGAATGTTGTCCACTTATTCACCAGACTTCTGTGACCCCCGAAGTCATTCTGAAAGGAGAGAACATTGATTTTAGGAAATGTGCATGTGAATGATAATTTCAAATATTTCTCTTGAAACAGAGAAACAATTTCCTCATTTTTCAAAATGCAAGTAATTATACCACAGATACAAGTAACTATGCTTTTTTTTTATTGTTGGTCAAATCTATTCACTCAAACTTTATTCACAGAATGACTTACAACATACAAAGAACACACTGGCACATAATAGGCACTTAACGAATATTTATTGAAGGAAGAATAAATGCACAGCTTATAACACATACTGAAAGTAGATCCTAGAGAAAAGCAAACCAGCATCAAATATTTTATAAGCTTAAACAGTTGAAACAATTTCAATTTTACAAACAGTATATTGAAAAAAATATTTGCACCAGCCTTAATAAAGAAAATCATTCTAGAGAAAACATTTTGAAAACGTACCTCTTCACTGAAAATGAAACTAAATTTTAACTTAAGCAATAAGTTCTGTTATGATCGTATGTATTTGCTGGTAATTTAGGCTCTTTTAAAATAATATTTAGGTGTATGTGTTTGAAGGAACATCCGTGTTCCTTCAAACACATAACAATGATTTATATTTTGTTGATATAATTCTACATGCTATAAAGATTTTTCTAACCCTGTAAGTAGTGCTTTTAAATATGATTTATATTTTTTGGAGAACAGATTCTCACATATTTCACATATTTTTGTATGTTTCCAGATTGTTAAAACCTTTAATTTTCCAGTAACTTAATATACTAGCGATAAATAATTACATCATGATTGAGGTAGAAAAGATGCTAACCAATCCCCCCAGGAGAGATTTTCAAAAATTTCATATCTTCTTTGAAAAAGACAATTCCATTGAAGATAATTACTGGATCAAGTTTTGTGATTTTTCTTGAGATGAAAGGTGCTTGAATACATAATAGCAGTTAGCTTGATTCATACTGCATATACACTGCACTATATACAGTGTAGTGGGAAAGAATGGTACTGTTATCATATCTTTACACTGATACTAATTAATCCACATTTATTGGGTAATTTTTAATCTATGTATCTGACATTATAATGCAATATCATATCCAGTTTTGTGTTACACTGTAAATGAATTACCTCAAAGTTCAGATGCTCAAAACTGTATGTATGTGTTCATATATATGTACATAGGATGTTATAATCAATTTATAAAATCAAGCTTTAATGATTTTCTCTTTTATATCAATAATTTAGCTATCCCAACAATAAATATCCATTTACTCTTACATATTTTAGGAAACTGTTGTGTGAAAATACAAAAAAAAATGTGTTCTCCCAGGTAACATGAAAAAATTGTATTTCTTGGGGCAACTGGGTGGCTCAGTCAGTTAAGCATCTGACTTCTGCTCCAGTCATGATCTCTTGGTTCACGAGTTCAAGCCCTGTGTCAGGCTATGTGCTGACAGCTCAAAGCCTGGAGCCTGTTTGGGATTCTGTGTCTTCTTCTATCTTTCTGCCCCTCCCCCACTTGAGCTCTGTCTCTCTCTCTCTCTCTCTCTCTCTCAAAGATAAATATTTAAAAAAAAATGTATTTCTTTAAAATTTCAAAGGAAGATCATTTAATGTAAACGTGAAATAATGTGTCACAATTTCTACCCGCATGTTTACCTACGAAGAGCTACCAATAAACAAGTATGTTTTCAAATCATTCTTTACCATTTAAATATTTATAATGATCAGTCAAGATTTTTAGCCATAGTTTTCATTATACTTGCATATAGGCAAAGAAGGAAAAGAAAACCATGATTGGACAATAATATCCTCCTCTATTGTTTTTTTTTTTCTTTACCTCACCTTGCATATCTGACCTATTCTAGCATGAGTGGCTTTTCCGGTGTGTTCTCCATCAATCGCATTTTCACGGAAGAAAAAATATACTTTGTCATCTTCAGGGTTGTCACTTTCTGGGATGAGGTGGGCACTAATGAACCTTGGATCTGAGAGACAAATTACAGCACATATATTAATTCACAGTTAGATAGATAATATCATTCATTACAGTCCACTTTCACTTTCTCCTCACTTGCATTTGATATATTTCAAGAACTAATCTTTCCTTAGTTCACAGTTTTCAGAATATGTGAACTGTTCTTTATGTATTTTAAAGTAAGTTACAAATCACCTTATACCTCAAAACAATTCTTTATTTTTCTCTTTTTTTGGAAAGTTAGGAGTAGGTGCAGAAATCCTCAGTGTGACCACATAGTGCAAATGCATTACAGGATATTAAAATATTTTGCAAACTGGAAATGCTTTCAAATATTGCTTATTGCCATCATCACTATCATTCTTCCTTCCAAGCATAAGATAGTTTTAAGTCAAAGTACCAAATGGTCTGTTCTAGTTTCCAGCAAAGACTGGATGGGAGGGGAGAAATGAGATCCAGATTCAACAACAACAAAACAGCAAATCCTCTCATGTTCTTATCCATGTCAGTAAATAACAACATTATTTACCGGGTACTCAAGTCACCTCGGTATTCTGGAGCCACCCTTGAGTCATCTCTTTCTCTCCAGCCCACATTCTATCAGCACATCCATCACCTTTTCTTACCACATCCTCCACGACCGGCCTCTCCCAGATCACCATGACCAGCGATGAATTGCTAACAGTCTCCCTGTTTCTACCTTACCACCACCAATTGTGTTCTGTTTCTCCACACTAGTCAGAGTGATCCTATGGCAGGTCACTTCCCTCTCTAACCCCTCATCCATCTTTCCAAATTATTCACAATAAAATATAAAATCTTTCCCGTGACCAGATACTATTTATGATCTGGTCCCTGCTACCTCACAAGCCTTTTCTTCTACCTACTCTCCTGACCTAACTTACTCCTAGCCCGCCATACCATCCCCATAGTAGCCCCTTCCTGGTTTTCAAACAAGTACTCTCATTCCTGCCTCAGATCTTCCTCTCTGTGTACTTTCTCACCTCATATATTATAATGAATGACTGGATTCCTACTTTTACTCAGGTCTTTGTTCAAATATTGCATTATCAGAAAGATCTTTGTTGACTACCCTATTTAAAGCACTTGAAACCCTTTTAGTTCTTAATTTTCATGTGTTATTTTTCTTCCTAACATTATTAAACACCTGTGATCTCTCAGTCTTTCTTTCTGTTTCTAATATTCATTTGTTTATTGTCTGTTTCTCTCCCCACCCCAAAGGAATATGAGTTCCCAGGACCTGGCATGTTTTGTTTGGTGCTGTGATCCTAAAGGTTAAAACACAGTTGACATTCAATGAGTATTTGTGCAAGAAGGGAAAGAGAGAAGAAAGAAAAAACAAAAAGAGAGAGAGACTGCCTAGATTATGCAGAATGTATATTAGCAATGATTAGAACCTCATTTAAAAAAATAATTTTTGTAAATACCTGGGTTGATGCGGTTGTGACTCATACAGACATATAAAAGTATGCAGTAGCTTCACTGATTTTAAGATGTAATATACTAAGAAGCTGAGTTTATCTTACTGAAAGCATTTAGGACATTGCAGGTATTTAAATTCTCACAATAAGCTACCTTTACTCCCATGACATATCGTGTTATCAAGTCAGCAATGAAATACGTGCACATAGATCAGTACCAAACCTGAGATATCAGGGAAGAGGTCAGAACCCTGAAACTAGCTTTATCCATGTTATTTAGTCCTAATCTTTATACCTGTGCATAATCACCATTATCATGTGTTCTATGCTTGTAACCTTCTTTTAACATTTGCTCTCAGACCATGCACACTCAGGGCTACACTCCACTATCCTTCTCAGGCAAATTATACAGACTCTGTCAGTAATGTTAAAAGTACAATTCATTACCTATTCATATTTCAAGTCCAGTGTGCCAGTGGAATAAGAGTAGGGAAATAACTTTTAAAAGTTGGACTCACTCAGTACCAGAGCTTTATAAGATACATAAAATAATACATTACTTTCCTATAATTGTTACAAAGCTGGTTTTTCTTCATCAATTTCTACCTGTTCATATACATAGATATGTTTGTATATTTCTGTTTGCGTCTCATGAGTATCAGTGAGCAGAATAAATAATGTGACATGGTAGGAATTGGTATGTTACAAATCAAACAATTACTATCCCAATGATGAATTCCTGGAATTGCAGATTCCTGGAAATGCAGTGTTGTAAGCGTGTTTGTGTGTGCACACACAGTTATAATATATATAGTTTGTGTGTGCACACAAACCTACATGTCGAAGAATTCAGTCCAGTCACTTGCAATTTTTGTGACTTTTTGGTAAGTCTCGGATCTCAGATGACTAATTTTCACACTGGGTTTATTTCAAATTGGATTCTATTCACCTTTTCCATCATAAATAGTTCATATAAAAACAAATATTTTCAACTTGAAAAATGCATTGAAACAACTTAGCAAAATGTTAGTAAATGCATTATATTATTATCATTAAGACAGTGAAGGGAAGCCTCAATCACATACTAAATTTGGAGATCTCATTAAAATCCAGCTACAGAATTAGAATAAAAAAAAAAAACACACATTCTTTTGCTTTAAAACTAGAGCAATGGAGGAGAAGTTGGTCTAATATTACCTTCCCAATTAGAGTAATTGTTCACAGAAACACTTGCATAACTTAAAGAATTTCAGGTAATTAAATCTAGCTACTGTATTTGCTCACAAATACATGTAAGATATGACGTAGAAAACAAAATGAGTAATATTATGTCTCTTGTTCTCAGAAAGCTATAATTAGGCAAAAGTCACGTTAGAAGCACAAAAATGGCAATAAAGCAAACAGTATTTTAAATGTACAGATATTCTCTTAGCTTGGTGTTTGGGCATGACAGAAGGCTCTATCAAGCACGTGTTTCCCTCTCTAAAATATGTCAAGAAAATTATCATTTTATCAATGTGGACTCTAGTGGGAAATCATTCAAACAAGTTATCATGCACATTGTTGAAAGAGCCTTCGATCCTAGTCTCTCTTTCAATATCTGGTATTACAGCATGGAGGACTTTGTAGGTGAGTAACAGTCTGACATAGCTTCAGAAACAGACAAAAAATAAACTACACATGGAAAAAAAAGTACACATTTATTAAACTAAAAAGGAATATCAAAGAAAAACAATGTCAGTCAAATGTAACTTGTCTTTAAGACATTTAGGATACAATCAACTTGGAAAAACATTCTTTCCTATCTCAAAATAAAATAGGTCTCTAGTTAAACTCTTTCAAAAAATTAAAAGGAGTTCTACTTCTTCTACTATTTTAAATTTAGCAAATCTTGTCTGCGGTCAAAACCTTTTCTCACTATGCATTTTCTACTCTTCAATCCTTCAAATGTTGCTTTCCCCTTCCTTACTACATTTGGTCCTCTTACTCCTCCTCTTCTTTTCTTAATCTATTCCTCTCTTCCCTGGTGAATTCTCCTCTTCCTCCAAACCAAACATTCTAATCAATCATTCTAATTGTCTGCCCTGCTACCCTAGAACCTCTTGGCCTCCCGAACCTCCATTGTACCTGCCTTATATAATCCCAGAACTTTTTTTCGTATGCCCCTATATCTAAGCAAGGATGATGAAAACTATATAATTTAGTAAATGGATGTGCTACTTGTTAACTCAGGCTATGTATCCTAAAAAAGAATCACTGTTGTTACAGATTTATTAACAGAAACTCTTTAAAATCATTCTGATTGTCTTCAAATCAACTAATGTAGCATCTCATTTTATTCTTCAAAGATGGAATTATTTGCTATACTGATACAACCAAAACCATTTAAAGAGAAGGTCCTCCTTTTTCTCCTCTCGATTTTTCTTTTCTTTCTTTCTGTGGAAAAATGATCTCTCTTTATTTGTAAGTCTAAAGCCTCTATTTGCTCTCAATGCAATAATCTACAAAATATTTCTCCAGTAAAAATCTCTATTCTTCATGCAATCACTCACCATCTATCTATATTTCATTCATCATATTTTTCCTAGACATGTACTCTGTACTCTAGATGGTGGAAAACAAGGGGATGTTATGATGAAATGTATTCTGTCTGTGAGGGAATACCAACAATTAAACAGAACAATTATTACACCACACAAAAAAAGGACAAGAGTCAGAGTCTGGAAAAAATGCAGTTGGAAATAGAAGAGAAAATTCAGTTTTCCTTAAAGAAATTAGGGAAAGCTTTTCTCAGAAGATATGACCTATAACTCAAGGCCTAAAGAATAACCAGGAATGTCCCAGGTGGAAGTAACATGTGCAAGGTAAGAGAAATGACAATACTATGCACTCAGAGAGTAGTCAATGAAGAGACGGGTGGTCAAAGATGATGACAAGAAAGTTAAGCAGAGGCCAGAATAAGAAGGAAGTGTTGTCCAGGGGCATATTGTCCTAATGGCGATGAGGGAAACCAATGAAGTATTTTAAAACTAGTAATGACATTATCAGATTACTATGTTAAGATCACTATGATTGCTACAGGAAAAAAAAAAAAAAATATAATGAGGCAAGAATGAAGGCAGGAAGACCACTCTAGAGGCTAGTGAGAAGGGTTGGTGATTTGGACCAGTATGATAGAGAAGGTGGCATATGCAAGGATTATGTGAAAACAGAACTGCTGGATTATGTTCACTGATGAGATGTTGAAGGTAGGGAGTAGTAAGAAAAATCATGGAAATACTAAGGAAATGTCTGATTTAAATATTGGTTGGATAGGAATCATTTACTGAAATAGGAACACTTGAGGAAAGATAGATATATATGGAAGTTGGGGGAGGAAGATAAGCTCAGTTTCGTGCAGCTTTATAGTGAGATGCTTGGGAATTTGTCCCACAGGTCAGGGAATACAGAAGCTCAGGAAAGAAATGGGGACTAGAGCTGAAGTTATTTGAGATTGACAGCAGGGTATAGAGTACGAAGAGAAAAGAAGACAGAATCTAATACAAGGAGAAAAGTGATGAAAAACAGG